ATATATATGTATATATATACATATATATGTATTTATATATGTATATGTATATATAAATATATTTGTTTGTATGTATATGTATATATATTTGTATATATATGTGTATGTTTTTTTATTTTGTATATATATTTATATTTTTATTTGTATATAGATATGAATATATATGTATATATATATATATTTATTTTTTTTTTGCTGTTTATTTATCTTATTTTTAATTTTTTTTTTTAAATTTCGATTTTTTTTTAGATTTTTTTAGATTTTTTTAAAACAATCCGACGTGGCATGCTGATGTGGCAAAAAATCTATGTGGCGTGCCACGTCAGCCGCTACGTGGTGTGCCACGCCAGCCGCTACGTGGCATGCCACGTCAGCGGTTAACGGACACTTAACACCGTTTTCGGATTGTGTAGAAAATTACAGTTAAATTGGGTAGTTCATGTATCAATTTGGCACATTTGATAATTTAATGTAGTTTTTTGTCAAATTAAAAATTCGTGTAGGAAAATGTCACATTTTACAAAGTCGGTGTAGGAAAATGTCATTTTCCCTATATATATATATATATATATACACACATATATGCATGTATGCGGAATCCGGTTTTGGTTCGGGTTTTCGGTTACCAATATATATTTTTGTTTCTTTATTTTTTTAATTTAATATTTATCTGCTATCACGTAAATTGTTAGATATAAAATAAATTGGTTAACGCGATTATGCAAGTTTATAATTTTTGGTGGAAGAATGGATAATGTCATATATGCAAGTTTTTTTTTATTTTTTATGGATTAACTTTCTGTATGACACAATTTTCTAAACAACCCAAAAAACTTTTTAGATATAATAGGTAGATGTATGAGCCGACCGTGAATGGTTGGCGTTATATTCATATCGGTACATTTGCTGAGTCACGAGTAGCACAGAGACAAAACACGACACGACACGACACATATTCTGAAAACCTAACACATTGTTTGGTCCGATTCTGACTCGGACGAGATTTATTTGCTTTTTTCCTCACTCTCCCCAAATCTCCATATGATTATTAATAGTTTCGCATATAAGTACGTTTTCAGGGATTTCTATATCTAGGAACAAATCGCACAAAACCGGATTTATCGAGCTCTAACCACGAAAAAACCGGGTTTAATTTCAAAACCAAACCGAACGAAACCGGTTCGACCAACGGATCACAGTCTTTAGTCAGAGAGATAACGTTGACTAACAGGGCCGTCAAGAGTGCCGTTGACAAGGGAGACGGAGACGGAGACGGCAACGGAAACCTAATCGCCGTTGGGAGTTGCGTTAACGCATTACAGATCGCTGACGTCACCGCCGGTCACCAATGCCAGGCCACTTATCCCCTTTCCGTGTTCTCTCGACCTCATCGTCATAACCACCACACCTTCTCCTTATCCTACGCCCTTCCCCTTTCCGGTGCGCACGTTAGCATCTTCCCTCCCCTTTCCTTTTTCTCCGATGGAGGCTCCTCCGCCCCCGCCACTGTCGCAGCCTCAAAGCGGTGGGTCCCACCGTACGCCGGGGGGACGAGAGGACTGGTGGAGCGAGGAGGCGACGGCGACGCTGATCGAGGCTTGGGGAGACCGATACGTGAAGCTTAACCGCGGGAATCTTCGGCAGAGCGACTGGAAGGAAGTCGCCGACGCCGTTAACTCCCGCCATGGGAACGGGAAGCCGAAGACCGATGTTCAGTGTAAGAACCGGATCGACACGCTGAAGAAGAAGTACAAGACGGAGAAGGCCAAGCCGTCGCCGTCGACTTGGCCGTTCTTCCCCTGCCTCGATACGCTGATCGGACCGGTGTTGAAGAAGTCCTCTGCCTCTGCCGGCGCTGTGAAATCGGCCCCGGTGAATCCCACGGGATCGAAGTCGACGGGCAGTTCCCTGGATGACAACGACGGAGACGACGACGATGAAGACGATGACGGAACCGGAGACTGGGGGGTTGTTGCGAGGGAGCATTGTCGGGTGGTGTAGGGAACTAGCTAGGGCGATTATGAAGTTCGGGGAAGTCTACGAAAGGGTAGAATGTGCGAAGCAGCAGATGATGATTGAATTGGAAAAGCAGAGAATGGATATTGCGAAAGAGCTAGAGTTACAACGAATGAACATGTTAACGGAGATTCAACTGGAGCTGGAGAAATCGAAGCACAGGAAACGTGAAACTGGTTCAGGTATATCTCATGATCCCTCTGTGGATCTCTCATCTTCACTCTGCTTCCATACATCAGGGTTTACCTTAAATTCTCGTGAAATTCTGTGGAAATTTCATCATCTCTGCTAGATCTCTCTGCAAAACCCTGGTTTCAAACTGGGTATCAATTGTGTGTACTGCATTGTATCTTTAAGTTCCAGATCTGGTATTAACAAAAGCTCCAGGCTTTGGGGTAACTATTGTCTGAACATGGACATGGCATGACTTATGTAGTAGAGTAAACATTGGTGTTCACAGAACAATGGCCTTAGCAATATGGAGTTTGACAAAAGCTTGCATTTTCTGCACTTCTGAATATTCGTTCAAAAGTCTTAATACAATACTTGAACTTCTCTTAATACAGTACTTGAGCTTCTCCTAGATTCAACATGCCCAGTGAAACCCTACCTAGCTCTGTCTTGTTGAGGTTATATGGCTGAGTGTTGACATTGATGGGTTCTGAACCATTTCGTATCTCTTAAGAACGGCGGATAGCCTCTCTCGATATATATACTTTACTAGCATTCAAAATGTGATGAGTTTACTGAAATTTTAGTCATTCCTCGTTGTGCAGATACAAAATTGTAGCATCGGTTCTCGGTAGGAAGGAACTACTTCTTGGGGAGAACACTCAGGCGAGGAGTGGGGATTGAGGAGCTTTGTGTGGATTTAAAGTTGCCGAAATTGGAGAACCCTAATAATATTCCTAAATCCTAATTTGTAGGATACAAGTTAGATAACTTTGTTTTTAGGATTCTAGGGGTACATTGCTATATTTACGCAGATTTTATCTTTTGTATTATCTAACATGTAAGATTTACTCTGTGAAGTATTAATATATATGATGGCTTGTGTTTGAAAGTCCGCAATTCCAAAGAGGGATCATCTCCCTTCTACTCGTTAGGTATGATATTGTATAGTTTGGTCTTTTTGGCTTAATCAGGGTTTCATCAGGTGACAGACTTCTCCAGATGCCCGAGAAGATTCTTGTCGATCTGTATACTCCGCGGCTGGACTTGCAGGTACATAGCAGAGGCTTTCAAACTCTTAAGAGTGACTTGCATTGTTAACTTCTTTTGATTACTGCGATTTGATTGCTTGTTTATGCAGAATTATAGCTCTATGTATCTTCAAGGGCAAAAGAAAGGGAAGAGATTCAAAGTAAGGTGAGGTGAATTATTGGGAGAGTGAAAGGAACAACACAGAAGCATATCTATCTATCAATGTCTCTTGTTTGGTAGAGTTGGGTACTGACAGGAGCATCTGTTGCTACTACGAAGAAGCTCCACATCTGAAAACGCCATTTGCCCGCCGTGGCCCTACCCTACCACTTTGACCAGAGCCTGTAAGACTCACTCTCTGACTTTTCCAAGCTTCATTCATACAATTACAGATGAAATTTTGCACATCTTCACTCTCATTAACAAACCCCTGAATTTCTGAATGCCAATGATCGTTTACCAGTTTTAACCTCAAAATCTCCGAGTTTCTCTTCGAACCTGGTAATTCACTAGATTTGGCTGTGAAGTAGTAGACCTGGGTACTTTTATATGCTTCTGAGTTAAGGGTGAGCTGAAGATACGATTTTTTCTTTCTTTCTTTTTCTTTCCGTTTCTTGGTTTTGGAAATACGCATGATGACTACGTGCATGATCTTGAGAGAATGGTTTACCCTTTGGAGTAAAGCTTCTGTTTTTGCAGATTCTTGAGAGTTAGAAACACAGATTCTCGATTACTTGTAAGCAAATACCAGAGTGAAAGCACAAAAAAGAGAAACAGGGAGAGAGCGAGAGAACGGGGAGCCTATACAAAAGGGGACTGTCCAAGATCATACAAAGAGCAATCAAAGGTAAACCCATCAAGCAACATCAACTCACTATAACCAGGCACAATGTCAAGAACCCCAGCCAACGAAGCGGCCGGATCATCGGAGACGGAAACCTGAGTGGCCCGTGCAAGGCGAGAGCGAGCAATGGCGAGATCATGTTGAAGCTCAAGCATCTTCCTCTGCAAGGAAGCGATGGCTCCGATACAACCATAGACAGGGTCCTTGAGCCGAACCTCGGCCTCGTAAGCCAAGGAATTGACAGTTTCCTGTCTCTGATCTTCAGGAATCTCGACGAGGAGCTTGCTCACGTTGCTGGCCCCGAAGACCTTGTGGACTTTGGCGAAGGTTTTAGGGTCGGAAGAGCGGAAGTAAGGAGCGAAAATGCAGGAAGGGACGCATCTTCTCTTCAACAGCTTGCAGGCTGCGCAAGAGGAGCTTGACCTTGGCTCATGACCTCTCATCACTCTTTCTCTCTCTCTGTGGCAGGTTGTAAGCCCTTTTCTTTGTGCTCTTTATATAGACAGTTTTGTTTTTAAAGTGTTTTTTTAGGTGCAGGAAAGTGACGAAGGGATGGCCAATCAGCCGGGTTCGAAACTTGCATGGGCCATAGTGTTTTTTTTTTTGGCCCATCATCTGTCGTTTTCGCATTGGATTTGTGAGAGGCCAGAAGATGTTGGTGAGGAGATTTTTTTTTTTCTTTTGAACGGGGGGAGGATGAGCTTTACAATAAAAGGCAAAAGAAGAAGAGAGAACGTGAAGCAATAATCAATGGGTTCTTCTCTCTCTCTCTCTCTGTGGGATTTAACACCACAACGAAGACAGAAAAGGCAAATACCATCTGGAAATTTGATTAGAAACGTGCAATAGGAGACCGATGTGACGGTTCAATTGGCAATGGCCGAAAGATAACTGCAAGTTATGTGTATGTGTGTGTGTGTCTGTGAATGAGAGAGAGAGAGAGAGAGAGAGAGAGAGAGAGAGGGCAGAAGAAAAGACCTTTGACAAGAAAACTGAGAGAATTAGAATGCCCACCACCACCACCACCACCACAACCACCACAGACAGAACACAACCATACCCCATCATATGACCTTTCTTTTCTTTTGTGCGGATAGAAATATCATTCATCCCTTTTAACATCATTTCTTCAGGGTCGTAATCAAAATATGGAATCTGTTTAGACATTTTATGATCATTACATATTAAACCTTTTCTATGTAAATAATGCAATAATAATAAACACATGGTGATGATGTGCAGAATTAAT